TGGGTAGGGCCTTTCAGGCCATTGCAAATACTTTAACTTTTATTAGGAGAGCAATGGGGAGTCATTGGACGGTGCTGAGCAGAAGAGTGACATGATCTGATTGAGGTCTTGAAAGGATCATTCTGGCTTCTGTAGGGAAGCTAGGGCAGAAGCAGGGAGACCTGTGAGGAGCCTTAAAATAATCCAGGTGAGAGAAGGTAGCTGGGACCAGGGTAGAAGTGATGAGAAGTAATCAGATTCTGGAAAAATTTCAAAAGCAAACCAACCAGATTTTCTGACAAACCAGATGTGGGATGTGAGAGAAAGAGAAGAGTGGAAGATGAATTTTGGCCTAAGCAACAAGAAGAATGTAGGTGCCATTTGCTGACATGGAGAGCACTTTGAGTGATCCAGCCGGGAGGTGAAAACATCAGGAGTTCTGTTTGATATGTATTAAGTGTAAGGCACCTATTACACATCCAAGTGGAGATGTTGAGAAGGTAGGATTTCGAGGAGAGGTCCAGGATGAAGATACATTTAGGTGTCATCAACCAAGAGAGGATTTAGTCAGGATGTTGGATGATCACCAAAGGAGTGAGTGTATATAGAAAAGAGAAGAGGTCCAAAACTGATCCTCAGGGCTCTCTAATGTTAAAAAGTAAGTGAGATAAGGAAGGACCAGCAAAAGAAACCAAGAAGAGGTAGCATGCACAGTAGAAGGAAAACCAGAAAGGACAACAAGAAACGCCATATAAAAGCTGTAAGAATTCAAAAGATAATTTACACAAGCTCTTAACAGTGTTAGTCACACCCTAAATCTGAGGTAAATGGTAGGTATGATGAAGATGATGATGATAATTCCATCAACTAAGGGCTAATTTGCTGCTCCTTTGGCCACCAAAAAGAAAAGACTAGTTCATAAGCAAATGGATGGAGGGATGGATGGACGCATGGATAGATAGATAAAATCCAGGTTGTGAATCCTGAGGTCTCTCACTTCAATTAAATGTAAAATTATCTCAATGAGGGTCTGAATTTAAAAACTGGATGGGATTAATATAATAAAACTTTTTCTGTTAAAATATGGTAACTAATTTTTAAAAATGGTAATTAAGGTGGTGAATACACAATGTGATATATAGATGATGTATTACAGAATTGTACACTTGAAACCTATGTAATTTTACCAACCATTGTCACGCCAATAAATTTAATTTAAAAAATGGTTATTGGGCTCAAGCTTCCTATGACTTCTACATTCCCCTCTAAACCTAAGGCACCAGCATCCAGTTAGTTGTCCAAGGCAGAAACGTGAGACCACATCCTGTTAATTTTGTCACAATCATCTCTTGATTTTATTTTTTCCTATTCAACATTATGGGTACTACCTTACTGTGGGCTACCGTCTTTTCTTGCCCAGACTATTTCCAAAGTCTCCTACCTAGTTTGTCTGTTCTACCATCTGTCACTATACTCCAATCCAAAGATTTGTAACCATTTTTGTGCCATGGAACCCTCTGGCAATCTGATGAAGTTTATAGACTTATTTTCATAATGTTTTTAGGGCCAGTCGAGTGGCACGTTGGTTAGGAGTTGGCTTGGGATTCCAGCTCTGAGCAGCAGGGTCCCAGTTCAGATCCCACATATGAGGGCCAGTGACGCTGCACCCTCTACAGCTAAGATGGTGAACAACAGCTCAACCTGGAGCTGGGCTGCCATAAGGCACTGTGAGCGGTTGTCCAATGGCCGGCAAGCAACTGCCTCGCCCGGGAAGAGCGCAATGATAATACCAACATGGGCCAGTGAAGCAACGTCCTCCACAACTAGACTGAAGAACAAAAGGACAGCAACT